CTGAGAGTATCTGAGAGTTGTCCCCCCTCAAAATGTGATTAAAAACCACGCTGTGTATTGTAAATAACAATGTTTTATACTTAAAATAATTGTGTAGGTAGTAAAACAACACAAACGGGGGTCAAAAATGCGTTTTAAGTTTAGAAACATTTTGAGTCTCCCCCTCCTTTGCCTCACAGTGCTTTGGTCCAAATGCCTGCTTTCCTCTTTTACATCACCTTACACACACACGAGTCTGGTGAGCGAGAACAAAGCCAATAGTTGAGGAACTCCAGTAAGTAAGACTGTCAAGGCTATTTTCAGAGGCGGACTTAACCATTAGGCAAAGGTAGGCGACCGCCTTGGGCCCCCAAAAGCAAAGGGCCCCCTAAAATGATTTTTATATGCGAGATGCGCGTTCAGTGCGGACATGCAAGTGGTTGCTCTGGTGTTCATTACCGCGACAACCGTCTGTGTGTCCGCGTTGAACGTGCTTTATAGCAAAAGTAGGGCGATGGGCCTATTTTTTTTTTTTTTCCCACAAAGGCACCCTTCATGTTTGGTTGAAATAATCCTTAAGCATGTAAATTTATAATTTCCTTCAGTTTAATTTAAATGTGCAATTAAAATAAATAAAAAATATATGTATATTTTAAAGTTTAGAATTAGACAGCCTTGCGTTGTGTAGACAATTGCATAGTGAAAATTACCCCAACGCACCCCCTAGTGTCCAACCTACTCTAATACTATTATAACCTGTTTAAATATGAACAAGGGATTTATAACATTAAAGAAATCCTTTAGTTATAACATGTACATGAAAAATCTAAAAGATTGGACACAACTATGGGGCACGGTCGTGCAGCAGCGAGCAACAGTGAAAGAAACCTCAAGGTTGTAAATGTGTGAAATTGTATAGGGCCCCATTCCAGTATTTTGCCTGGGGCCCCCAAATCACTAAATCCGCCCCTGGCTATTTTATTCACTTGAACATCGGATGAAGTGATTAGTTTCTCTTTAATACATGATGCCAATGTATTTTTAAATGAGTCGCTATGTTAGCAATAATACCATTACCTCCTTGACAGAAAGGGTTGCCAGGTTTTCACAACAAAACCCGCCTAATTGCTACTTAAAACTAGCCCAAACTATCCGCGTTTCGAGGGGGTCCCCCGGTAAAAATCGCGTTCCGGGAGCTAAAATACACGTTATTGGGGTCCCGCGGACCTGAAAAACAACCCCCGGCAACAGTGATAAAGTAGCCCAGTTCCACGGGAAAACCGCGGACTTGGCAACACTGAGACGGATACAACAGACACGAGTCTCCCTGCTGCACTAATAGTAGTTAAGACTTTCCTCTGTGCATACATATCCTTACAAGTACAATTTTAGCTGTATTATTTGTGTCCCCTTCAAAATTAGCTCTTGAGATATTTTGTTTATTGCATACAATAAACATACTGTTAGACGAAATTTATGCCCCTGACAGGAACACATTTTTTTCTCAGAATTGTGAGTAAAAAAAAAGTCTGAACTCTGAGACGACTTCAAGTTGTTTACACAGATTCACCAAGCTGACCAACAGAAAGCTGCTTTGTGCTAAACACATTTTTTGCCCACACAATTTGGCTAACACACCTTAGACAGATCCCAACACAGCTGATAACATTTAGTTTATTACAAACAAAAGCCTGGCTGTTTCAGTTGTACAGTGATCATGATACACGCATGTTTAATAAATCCCATAGGTCTTTTCGGCTCCATCTCTGTAGCGGTCCAGGTATCTGAGAGGCTGTCCGTGAGGGTATTTCTTCTGCGGTGGGTGATACACTGGAGGTCTGTCATACTCGAACACCGGCTCTCTCATATCTGTAAAATATATATGAAGCACAACATGAGCAATGATTTTTTTCCAGAGTGTGTGTTAAGCCAGTTTTCATGACTCATTACTAATGACTGGTTTTGTATCTGAATATACTGTAACTGGGTCACAACAAACCACAAGTAATAAGTGCTATTTTAAGAAGCGGAAACTGGCTATAAATAGAACGGTAGTAACTAGATCTACGAGAAAATCTCTTGTTCATCATACAAGAAGGGAAGTTGTTCTAGCGTGTCTACACCTTGTTACTCACTCAATAGCGTGTGAAAGGCGTGAGACACAGACTGATCCCATTGGCATTGGAAAAAAGCAAGACCGGCTGGAGTAATCTTATCCTGGTGCTTCCTGTAGAAGTCTAATGTTCGGAAAGTCCGTTGCTTCAGACAGTAGCTGTAAATATGAGAGAAAGAATACGTATTTCTGCAAATGTTCAAAATGAGACATCAGCATATTACCAATGGCTTTATACTGATTTTTTTTTTGTGCTATGCAAGCTGAAGGGTCTTTCTTCTGAGTAGTACACAAAATAGGAAGAAGAGTGTCACATTTCGAAAGCTATGCTGCATTTCCCGGCCATGCACATTGTCTAATTTCAGAGAAAAGCTGACCTTTATGAACCATGAATTACTGTAATTCTAAATGTGTAATGTTAATGGTTTATTTTCCGAAATGACACGTTCTCATTGACGTATGCATCTGACAAATGCAGCCTTGAAAATGCAATGATTTCGAAACGAGACACTACAAATAAATCGATTCCAAATGCAAATACTAATTTGTTGAAGGAAATTCAGCAAGTATTTGGAGGATCTCACAAAATCTGTCAGGAACAAGTGCAGTTCAAATTTCACCCCCCAAAATCGCAAGAAATAAATTACATTGTACTTCAAGAAAAAGCCTGTTTTTAGACTTTTTATTTAATTGTGGTATTATTTTCATGACATTTAATCACATTTACCCCCCAATTCTCATTACTACATAAAAAAAGTTATTCTCATTTCTGCAATGATAACAAAAATGTCAGTTTTTTTATCTACGATTTTACTTTTTTTTTTAACGAAGTCTCTTCTGCTCATGAAGGCTGCATTTATGTGATCAAACATCAAACAGTAATATTGTGAAATTTCATTGTAAATTAAAATAACTGTTTCCTATCTGAATATATTATAAAATGTAATTTATTCCTGTGATCAAAGCTGAATTTTCAGCATCATTACTCCAGTCTTCAGTGTCACATGATCCTTTAGAAATCATTCTAATATGCTGATTTGCTGCTTAAGAAACATTTCTGATTATTATCAATGTTGAAAACAGTTGTGCTATTTAATATTTATGCAGAAATAAAAATTGGGGTGTATGTGTTTCATGGAAATTAATGCTTCAGCAAATATGCATTAAATTGATTCAAAGTGAAAATAAAACAATTATAATGTTACAAAAGATTCTATTTGAAATAAATGCTGTTCTTTTGAACTTTCTGCTCAAAGAATTCTGAAAAAATGAAAGAAAAAAAAAAAGATATATTATAGATATAATCATGTGACACAAGACTGGAGTAATGATGTTGAAAAATCAGCTTTGATCACAGGAATAAATTTCATTTTAACATACATTCACATAGAAACCAGTTATTTTAAATTGTAATAATATTTCACAATATTACTGATTTTTCTGTATTTTTGATCAAATAATAGCAGCATTGTTGAACAAAAGAGACTTAATTAAAACATTTAAAAATCGTTTAAAGAATGTTTTAAAAAAAAGTTTTCTTTTTCAAACGTTTAACAAGTACTGTATATTACTTTTCTTTTTAAAATAATAATAGGGTGAGAAATGACCCAGAATAGTTTAATATAATTTATTACACAACTCTCTGGAATACTTGATTCTGATTGGTCAATCCCGACATTCCATGGTGTGTTATTTCCTGATAAAACTAATAACACAGGCTCATGCGGGTACTACCAGTCATCTTGACTGCAGTAATTATATGCTTAATGTATCAATCCGCTGTCGCTGATCAATGTTTCGTTGTCTAATGATTTACTTTTGTGGCAAGCAGCTGTGTAATAAGCAGGATAATGTGCATCCAGCCAGTTGTTAAAATAAAGCCCTTCAGTCTTATATGACAGACTTCCGCTTCGCGTCAGGCTGCTGATAAGCCTGTCTGGCTTTATTCTGCGATAACAACCAGATGGATGTGCATTATCCCTTACATATTATCATGATCTTATTATTACTGTCCAGACTGTGGCTGAAACTACTGACCATGGGGAGGACCTGAGGTCTGAGCTGAAATCAACCGGATGTTCCTGTTTAAACAGGATGTAGATGTATCGGTGAAAGCCTGTTCCTCTGGCTGGAAATGGACTGATGTAAGGGCAGAGCTCTTCCCCTGATGACACAGAATTTCCAGGGATATTCCCACTGTAATAAATTAGTAATTAGAAACAGATATCATCATGTACTTTGTCAAACGATTCTTTTTTTCAGGCCGGGCTTTTCCAAAGTTGAGACTGAGGTCAGACAGTGCATGAGGTTAAGGTGAGCATGGTGGTTTTTAAGCATGTTTTTACTGTATGTGGTTGTTTACTGGCCTCAAATCAAAAGAGTCTCTATGACATTATGATCTTCAGCTGTTCCTCCTTAAATCAAATGTATGGATTTTGTTCTTGTTGGAATGTGAGCTTTGCTGAAAAAATTATTCATATGTGTAAAGTGATACAGGATAACAAACATACTCACACTAGCCAGTGAAGATACTCCTGCTCAGCATCCAGCAGATGTTCATCTGTAAAACACACACAGTTTATGTCACTGTATCACCATCTTGTGGAGTAACTTCAAATAGCAGTTTACTAAATGCTAACTTGACATTTCTGAAGGCCAAATGACCATAAACGCGGTAACCCGTTTTCTTTTATCGGAGTAAGGTCATAAACAGCGTAAGCATAAACCCCGGTCGCAACAGGTAGTTTTTTGCCTCTTACTCCGATTTCGCAATAACCCGCTTTCTGTCGGCTTACTGAAGTGCGCATGTGTGATACGTGACCGGAACGCATCGTTAGTGCAGATTTAAGCGCATCTAGACCGAGCAAACGTCTTGCAGTAAAGAAAGAAGGAAATATATCACAAAAGCACTTTTCCATGACTCAGAAAATGATAAAAATGTGTTCTCATCTGGTGCAGCAGAAGTAGAAGTGGTTCAGTCACAATGCTGCGTTCATAACTGCATGAGAGGATAATATATGAGCTGTAAGTTTCCCGACATGTTGCAAGCTTAATTTAACATCACAACTGACAAATGTATGGAATACTCTGAGTCAGATACGCAAATGGTTATATTTTGACGTCACTACAGGGAAATAGGCTGATTTATTAATGAAGTCATGTAAACGCAGCTTACTGATGTGCATGTAAACGGGGAAAACTGGTTATTTTAATAAGCTGATATTTGTGAGTTATCAGCTTACTGGTGTGCATGTAAACGTGCTCAATGATTTTTTTTAGATATAATATTATTAAATTAATAAATAAATAAAACATTATTAAAAGTATTTGTACACACACTGTCATTGGAATATGTACTACAGATGTCATTCGATAAAAAAATAAATAAAAAAAAAGTATTTAACGTAAATATTTTGATGTACCTGGGCTGGTTAACAACAGCGTCCAGAGAGAATTTTCTTCTGCGTCAAAATGTACCTGAGGTGCTTGTGCCGCCTGAGGATTTCACACAAACAGCACAAATCAAAGTCTGTTTTCTTGATTTCAAACAGAAACAGTCGTTGCAAGTTTTGAGCCCTCACCTGACTCGGTGTTAAGTGATTCCCATAATGCACTGTTGCACTGCTATCCTCTCCGTACGCCACACGCAGCATGACCCGCGGCACAAAATACGCCATGGGAAAGAGGTCCTTGTAGATCCCGTAGTGTTCGGCGAGCCTCTTGATGTGGTACGGTCCGTTTGTCTGCTCCCACTGCGTCTTTACTCTGTCGAGGGGAATGCGGACTGGAAGCCAGAAAATAAGAAAACGTTATATTAAATGTCCTATTGATGCCTGATGATTGATAGTATGATGTTTCTGTACCACTAAGTTTACATTCACACTTAATTATTATCACTAATTTTGCATGAAGTGACAATTTGCATTGTTACATTATTTTCATTATGCAAAAAATTACATTTGTAATGTACTATTTAAATATACACCAGGATAGTATTTATTTATGCTGATTTCAACAACAAAACAAAAAAAAAAACAATAAGGAGAATTTGGTTGGAAAATGTGCTTAAAATATCACAATATAATTCTCAGTCTCTAATAATTTTTCATTTAATTCTATGTAACCTGCAACTTTGATAACATTGATGAGTCACTGCATTTGCTGCATGATTACACATTCAGCATCAATTATAAACAGTCGTTGATTTTATCTCAAGATTTAAACTAGATTCTTAATAATAAAATAATAATACAATTTAGTTGCATAGCATTTTTCATATATAAAATGCAGCTCAAAGTGCTTCATAAAATAAAATAGATGCATAAAACAAACATTGACAATATGATTTCACACAATATCAATAATAATTAATACTAATAACCATTTTTATAATATACCCTAAAATCCTGATGTTTGATCATAATTCATCGTTCTGCTTTTGATTAACCTGCTCTGCTTCCTCTTCAGAGATCATGATGGTTCGCTGACGCACTTACATGTTCGTAGTCGATCGTCTCTTTCCATCTCTGGGTTCTTTTTGTTCTCCAGCATCACCTTCTTCCTCTCCTTCAACTCTGTCTTCCTGGAGGGACGCTGATGCGGGAGCCCAATGTTGACCGGTTCAACGGCTGCCCACAAAATCAATCAATCAACACTCTCTGACCCACACTGATACTGTAGCTCTTGTGAAAATAACCTGCAATGACAGCTATGGATGAGTGTGTATTCATAGCTGGTCCATCAGCCATGACTTACCTTCTTTCTTCTCCTCCTCTCTGTATTTCCTATAGGTCTTCCACCAAACATCTTTCCGGTCGGTCTCCTCTGCCGCTCTCACGTAGCGAGTGTAACTGCGATATTTCTCCAGAGAGTCCAGTCGAGTCCAATCAATGTCTTCATTTGGCATCGGACCCTGAGGGGGAGACCGGTGACTAAGAACAGCTACAAAAGAGTCAACAAGAGGATTTATTATTAGTATAATAACAACAACAAAAATATAATATAAAAATGTTACAATATGAATGTGATAATCACACAATTTGATAATTATGATCATGTTTAACAAAGAATTATAAAATAACATTTTAATAAAATGTTGTAATATAAAATAATTAAAACTAAAACAACAGTAATAAATATTATAAAATATTTATTATTGTATTTTTTATAAATATAATAATAAAAATAAAATATGAATAATATAATGTTGCTTTAATATAAAATAAAATGAACAAAAATAATTATATTGTTAATAATAATAATAAACAACAATAAAATAATAACACTAATAATAATGTAGCAATATAAATTTTATAATAATAAAATAATAAACAGTATGATAAAATGTAATATAATTATAAAACAACATTATAAAAATGTTGTAGTATACATGTAGTAATAATAATTGCTTTAATATAAATAATAACAATTAACAAACATAATTATACTGTTGTAATATGTATGCTGTTGTAATAAATGTAATAACAATAAAAACAATCATGAAAATAACAATAAATATTGCTTTAATATTAATATAATAAAACAACAATAAATATTTATAATGCTGTAACATAACAAAAACAAATATTACAATGCTTTAATATAAACGTAATATTAATAATAAACAATGATAACGGAACCTTCATTTAAAGCACGTCTAAAACAAGCAGTAACTAAAAGTGCTTTAGAAAGACACGAAAAACAGATAAAGGACAGAATGAAAATGCAGACTAATAAATAAATTATCTATTTATTGATCATAATAACTAGGATAAGTAGACAGATAAATGCATTAAGTTCATATAAAGGTCATTCACACCAGAAGGTTCACATGCATGCACGCACAGCAGCGGCTCTACTCATTATTTAACTCATTATCCGCACATTCACAGTAATATCGTCCAGCACCGCTCACCGCTGAACCGAAGACCCCTCGCGTGATGCTTAAGCCCCGCATTCGCCGCCGCCGCCGCCCGCAGCAGAACACACGCCGCGCTGCGCTGCGCCATGATGAACCGCTCCGCTCCGACGCGGCGAGACGTCAATACGCAAGACGTGTGACGTAACGTGCGTGCACGTCATCGCGTCTGTGCGTTCTTGCGTATGGAAGGCGACGAGATTCGCCTGTGAGAAATCCAGAGCGCAGGATTCGCGATTAATTCACGTTTCTACACATCTGATGAGTGAATATTCCTGTGAGTTTTACAAAAAAGGAGTTAGTCGATTAGTAAATGTTCTGCTTTAATTTTAAAAATAGATGTTGTTTAGTGATGTAAGGTCAGGTGGAGTTTGTTTATGTACTGTCTCGATGTTTTCATTTTAACGTTTCAAATGAACGTTAATTCAACGAAGAATTACTAATGACTATAATTCATCAGTCAAATGATTTAATTCGGTTTATAGATTATAGATCGTTATACTTCAACATGAACACTTATTTGATGCTGAAATCTATCTATCTATCTATCTATCTGTCTGTCTGTCTATCTATGCTGTCCATCTATCTATCTATCCATCTATCCATCTATCTATCCATCTATCTATCTATCTACTGTATGTGTCTGTCTGTGACAACATGCCCCAATAGAGGTTTTCTGCTGTCATTGACAATGACATTAACACTGTTGTTTCATTTATTTTATACTTTCAGGTTTCCAGATTTATGATGGATGATCATGTGCAGTGCACGATCTGCTTGGATCCATTTACATTCCCTGTGACAATCCCATGCGGCCACACCTTCTGCAAGGCCTGCATCTCCAAATTCTGGGATAGGAAGGACAAAGACTTCCACTGTCCTTTTTGTAAAAAAACCTTTGACACAAGGCCTGAGCTGAATCGCAACGTGTCTCTGTCAATGTTAACGGAGATCAGCACACACAGTCCAGTTAAGACGGATGTGAGCGCAGGAGCCTCCGTCCACACGGATCCGGAGCCAGAGCAGATCTGTGAGCGGCACCAGAAGCCTCTGGTCATCTACTGCAGGAACGACAGCATGTGTGTTTGCTATGAGTGCTCTGTCAACGAGTGCAAGGGCCATGATAAGATTTTGGTGGTAGCAGAACGGAAGAATAGGGAGGTAATATTGTATTGACATACAAATATCGTTTAAATAGTATATCATTATTAATAATATCATATGTTTTTGCATTACAGTAATGAGAATTTGAGGTGAAAATAATGCTAAATTTTTACTAGTAATTTCCAGAAATGGCAATAATGTCACAATGCTATATTTTTTTTATGCAAAATATTATTATTTTTTTTTTCTTTGTTTAATTTTAGAGTGAAATATATTAACATATTTTGAGAGGCTCAACCTGTATATGTCTTAGCTGACTTTTTTAAGAATTTGTAGGATTTAAATATAAAGATTTTCTGTGCAGGCAGAATTGAAGAAAAAGAGTGCAGAATTCAAGAAACACCAGGAAACCACTGAGAGAAAGCGGCAGGAGCTCATGGAGAACACGGAGACAGCGAAGGCAAGACGTCTGCCATCATTACCTTATTCATTAGGAACTTTATCCAAACATGAATGTATGTCATACATATCCAAATCCATATGACATTATAGTGACACTTTACAATAAGTTTCCATTTGTTACAATAAGTAAAATACATTAGTAAACATGAACTGAAAAAAAAAACTTTATTAGATTTCATTTTTAATTTATTGTTATTATTTAATGTATTAGAATTTATTAATGTTAATCTTAACATTTGCTAATACATTATTAAAATTAAACGTTGTATCTGCTAATATTAGTTAGTGGACCTGACATGAACTAACATGAACAATATATAATACATATTGCACTAACAATAATAATACAAAATATGTATTGGCATTTTTTTTTTTTTAAATACCCACAGATCTACACAAACTGAATCATACATTAATACAAAGCCTGGCCTTAATCACACAATCCTAAGTATTTGCTTATTTAATCCAGACGGCGACTTGTTTTTGGCCAGGCAGTGTATATTAGGGAATAGTCTTGAAGGATGTATATTGAATTAGAAAGCAGTAGCATCACTGCTCATGGCGTGTGTGGTTTAGCATGTTGTTCTCTCTCTGCTCTGTCAGGTATCACTACAGCAGACGTCTCAGTGGGTGAATACCAAGTTCTCACAGCTGATAAAGGTGCTGACAGAGAAACAGGAAGTGACAGAGCTTTTTCTGGAACAGCAGCAGGAAGTGACACTGTTGCAGGCTCAGGAGAGGCTGGCTGTTCTGGAGGAGAGAGCGGCGCAGCTCGAAGCCCTTCAGGAGGAGATCAGCAGCCTGTGTTCCCTCCCTCCCTGCCAGCTCATCAAGGTCTTATTTTATTTTATTTTATTTTATTTTATTTTATTATTTATTTATTATTATTTTTTTTGCAATTGTTTTATTTATAATGCTATTGTTTTATTTTTAATTTAATGCTATTTATTTATTTATTTTGAGAAATGTGCATCACAAACTAAAAAATAAATAAATAAATAAAAATAAAAGTTAAAAAATGGCCCCATTTTCTTTTTAAATAAATTATTTTAACATGAATTCAAGTTATTATATAGGAAAAAAAATGCTTGTTTTCAACTTTTCTTTTGATGATACAAAGGTTGTTTTTTGGGGGAAAATATTATTTATTGTCAATATTTTTACAATTATATTAATATCAGTCATATTAATTATACATTTTGATATGATTGTTTTATTATTAATTGTTAATGTTGTCACAGATGTGAATAGGTGTAATGTTTGTCTAATGTCTGTGTTTGTGTGCTGATGCAGGACTCCAGGTTCATAGAGGTCCCACACTTCAGTGACGTTCCTCTGGATGTGCATGTGAGCGTACAGGAGAAGCTGACGCCCGTCACAGACGTCCTGTCCCGCGTGTCCAAGCTGGTGTGTGAGGATCTGGAGAGAGCCGTTCAGGTGTCTGCAGGACAGGATAAAGAGGGTGAGGAGCATTCACGGTCTGTTTACTGACTATCTGATGCTAAATGCACACAAATATAACTATCTGAAATCGCCTGTTTACTTTGTAATTCCCATGAGTCAGGGCACAGGCATTTTGCTTATCAGTCAGACAGTAAACAAAGATGTGTTTGCAAGGTGCTGAGTTGATACAAAATGAGTGTTTTAGGTAAAAGCAATTACTGGATTTTGACAAATTTAGTCCGATTTGTGGCATCAAATCTTTTCGGTGAGATAATGAGTGCTTATTTTTTAACAGACATTAGTTGTACACACATTTTATACTTTTTTTGTTTTGTTTTCTGTGCAACTATTACTTATACAATACTACAATATTTCTCCACAGCAGTCTATACATTTTTGTAATTGTAAAAATCATAATAAAAACCATTCCAATCTAGGATGGGGCAATGTCAGCCAAAAATGTAAGCTTTTGGTTGACAACAATATATATCACAATAAATTCACTGTTTAATGAAATCGTAGTGATTAAAACTACAAAAATAATGGTCCTTTTATGTCAATTTTCAAAAGTAATAGTATGGTAGACCTGTATTTATTTATATAAATGGTCATTAATGTTGCAATAAAACTATAAATAATAGTTTAATTATTAAGTTTAAAACAAAGTTTTAAGATTTTAAAACAGATTTGATCTATTTTTGTCTAAAAATACAGTTTTATTCATATCTGTTCAGCAAATTTCTGACATAAGAAAAAAACTATATATCACAGTATTTTTAATATATTTTTTATTTTGGTCAATAACAATATCAGCATATATATGCACATATTGCAAAAGCGATGATGAAAAATACTGAAAAAATAATGGTCCTTGTGCCAATTTTCAAAGTAATTTTTAATAAATGTGTTTATACATAAAAGATTAATTATTTATTTATCAATATTTACTTTATTTATTTGAATATAAATTAAAATTTTATATATTAAATGTATTTGTATTTTATTTAACCAGTCATAATCATTGCAGTGAAACAGTTTTATAAATAATTATTTCAAATACTCTTTTATCTTTTTTTCCCATTAAACACTGTTTTATCTATGTCTGTTCAGGATAGTTTTTTCTGTCTTTCTCGTAGGCTCTCCTCAAGATAAGAGGCCAATTCTGGCTGTTGTTCCCAGTCCTGCAACACCATCATATCCAGCCGAGAGGGAGGGATTGAACGCATGTACGCTCATATCATATAATCTCACATGATAGTACAGTTCGTAATTATTCTCAGTCTCATATGTAATTGTTCTCTTCATCCAGACCACTGCAACCTGACCTTCGACCCTCGCACCGCCAACGCTCACTTACGGCTCTCCCAGAGCAACAGGAGGGCGGAGCATCTGATCTCCGGGCCCCGCCCCGTCCTGGCCGATGAGTCCCGCTTCGACCACACCTGGCAGGTGTTGTGTTTCCAGAGCTTCACTCACGGCCAGCACTACTGGGAGCTGGAGGTGTCCAAACCGTGGGCCTACGTGGGCGTGACGTACCCGAACATCCCGCGCAAGGAGAAGGGCAAGCGCTGCATGGTGGGGATGAACGAGCTGTCGTGGAGCCTGCAGCTGGACGAGCGGCAGCTGAGCGCGTGGCACGCCGGCTGCAAGGAGTCCGTCGCCGGTCAGCTGCAGCCGAACGCTCAGCCGCTGCGCATCGGGATGCTGCTGGACTACGAGTCCGGGACGCTGACGTACTACGGCGAGGGACAGGTCCGGCTGCACGCCTTCCACTGCGCCTTTACACAAGCGCTGTTTCCGGCCTGCTGGATCGGGGAGGGCGTCACCATTACGCTCTGTGAACCGTGAGCATGAACATATTTGATCCTGGGGAAATAGATGCATCATCCCTACCGTAGCTGAACCTAAGACGCGTGGCCTTCCTATGCCATCATTTACTCCTGGTGTTTCTGAGCGGTGGTGAGATTTGATGAGCTCAGGATTCAGTCTGGGATGGTTCGGTTTGGTCTGTGAAGAATTGCGTAAGTGCCGAAATATACTTCACGCAAGTAGGAATGCAGATGCTCATATATATATATATATACAGTGTTTTAAAATAATGTTTTAAAAGAAGTCTCTTATGATAAAAAATATGAAATATTCTGACAATTTACGATAAATGACTTCTAAATATATTTCATATATTCTAGGGTGACCTCCTGCAAACATTCTAATATTGAATATAATTTTCGCGCATCAGGGATGCGAAGTATTAAATCACTTTGGATGCAGCTCGTGTTTGATGCAGGGTTGCCAAATCCACATTTTTGCACGGAATTGGGCTGATTTTAAACTGTTGATTTTCTCCCGTGGGTTAAAGGTTTGAAATATTGCGTAAATTAAATTTGACTGAAATGCTTGTATTGAAATATTTTGCATTCTACCTATGATAAAACTGTGCTAGATGTTAAGCTTTATGAAGGATGGCCACTGGTAGGAAGCCTTTTAGCTGTGTTTATGATCAATATGCATAACGGTGACTGTAAAATATGTATTTTAGGTATGGAAATTACATATTTTGAGCTTTGATATTTGGGATATGGTCATTGCGCTACTTTGGGGGCTACTTTAACCCCCCTCAAACCCAACAACCCCCATCCCAACCCCCCCTCTGTATTTTGAAAACTAAAATATGATCACCCTAATATATTCATATAAATCCGCATATTAGAATGATTTCTGAAGGATCATGTGACACTGAAGACTGGAGTAATGATGCTTAAAATTCAGCTTTTTCATCACAGAAATAAATTACATTTTAACACATTCCTATAGAAAAGTTATTTTAAATTGTAATAATATTTCTGTTTTTACTGCATTTTTGATCAAATAATTGGTCAGCATAAGAGACTTCTTCAATAATTATTCCAAAACGCATATATATAGAACATCTGTGTTTGTGTACTTCATAAATTGTGTTTCTGGCCTAAATCTTTGCCATTCTTACTTGTGGCCAAATTATGGCAGCTTACTAGGGTTGGGCCGATAGACGATGCCATCGTCGACGTGTAGGCGGAAGTGCTTTTGAATGCACGATCGCTTTTTAGTTTCACTTTCACTTTCCAGATTCGCGATCGCATGTACTCTCTTTATACTATGGAGCGGCAGTACTTACCACACATTTTACAAGATTATATGTTTGTCAGTGGTACTGAGGATCTGCAAATCATTCGCCATCGTCCTCAGTCATCTCTCCTTACTCTGTTTATGTGGTAAGTGAAATTTTATGTACTGTAACAGACAACCGTTACACCGTGTCTACACCACGCCGCATCAGTGTCGTGTCGCGCCGCATCAGCTAAAGTCTGTCTACACTGGACATGACAAAGCGACCATTGAAAATCATTTGAAATTTGTGTCAGCACGTCATAAATAGAGCGCAGCAGCAGTTTACTGTCGGGGATTTGTC